ATTTCATTACCCAGCTAGGTAACATGTTCAGTGCACTTCAGGTAACGAAACGTTTGCAAGAAAACAACCCAGCTCAGAGAACTCCAAGGACTCCACAATACTTGAAGAGCTGTCACAGAGAAGAGGGTGTGGATTTATTCTCTATAGCTCCCAAAGGTAGGAGAAGAACTCCTGACCATGAGGGCTATTAAGCAGCAGAACAGCCTGCCTCCTAAAGTCATGGGTACTCTATCATTGGAGGTTTTCAAGCAAAGGTTGGATAGATGTTTGTCTGGGTTGGTCTGAGGATTCTTGCTGTGCCCAAGGAGTTGGACAAGAAGACTCCCAAGGTCCTGTCCAACTATGATATTATGATCCAGTGGAACTTACTCCCAAGTAAATGCTTACAAAATGCAGTTTGTAAGTTCTAGTTGTCTTTGAATTCTTTGCAACTATATAAAATGAGCTATCTGGAGTCTTTTTGCAAAAATGGGAAGATTTTCTTCCAAGAATTTCCCAGGAGTTTTCAGATTTATTAATTAAATCCCTAATGTCAGCTGTACAAAACCAAACATAGCAAGTATTTACAATATGATTTGGTGGTGAATTTTTTAACATTTTGAAAACCTATATTGCGATAAATATTTGTTTTAGAGACAAAGTCCAAGGGCTTCATGCATGGTCATGCGCATTGGAGTCTTTTTGGAGAGCCAATGTGTAGTGGTGCTTAACAGTATGGACTACAGCCAGGGAGATTCAGCTTCAAATCCACTCTTAGCCATTGAAGTTCACCGAGTGACTTTGGGCCAGTCTAAACTATCCAGTAGTTCAATGACCTCCAACATTCATCCTATGCATTGGGGGAGGAGTGAAATAAAATGACATACCTTCATTCCTCTGCACAAAATTAAAATTAATTTGCTAGCATCTTCTCTATGCTGTTTGTCTACATTAGCCTGGTAGTTTGGAAAAACTGCTTCCAAGTGCTGAAGATATGATGAAGGAACATTGATTATAAAATCTGCCTGCAGAAGCAGGGATGTGCAAAATGAGGCAGTCCAACTGTGGAATGTTACATCATTTTCCCCTAGAATGCTCTGAACTAGGTATTCTGGGGTGGTTTATGCTATTCTGAAAGTACACTGGCTGGAATAGAAAGTGGTTTGTGATGGTCTAGATGTGTTAAGCATAGAATGTTCCGAATACTGAACTTTCCCAGAATACCCAGATTGATCCATTCAAGGGGATAAACGGAATGTCCCTGTTTTTTGGTAGAAATGAAAGTTGAATGCAGATACAAGAAGACCATGCATATGTGTGTGTGAGAGAGCCTGATAAGCAGTCCCACTCATGAAAAATTGACAGTCTCCATGAGCCTAAGAAGTGTGGCAGAGGATCCCAATATAATAATAATAGAGGAATGTTGCAAATTTCAAAGGAAAAACTGATATATTACTTGGGAAAATGCCAAGGGAAGGAGGAAATATTTTAGGTTAGATTCAACAAGGTTTCTGTGTGATAAAAACTTCCAGTAGGTGGTGCATTTTGCTGGTGAACTAAAAGAGAGTAATCTGAAATGCCTTAAAAGGATTTGGAGTGGGAGAGGTTTTACAGCCTGTCTCTACTGATATTTGCACACGTTAGCTCCCACAGAGTGCAATCCCTTGCCCAGTTAAACTTTTAGAAGTTATTTATATTTTCCATAATAAATAATATCCTGTTGAATGTAGCTGTAAATATTTTTATTGTCAGGACCTAATATTCTAGTGGTTTTTACATTAGAGCATTGCACATCTTTTGTAAGCGCTCCTTTGGAATGCATAAGAGTATGTACAAAGCATCTCTTTTTGAATTGTTTAGAGGCAGTCCCAGTTTAAGTGGCTCCTTCAGAAACTGCTCTGGTTGTCTCCGCATGCATATGCATGCACAAGTATACCCATTTCACAGAGAGAGAACAAAGCATATGGCATATGTGGAGTCAGCTGGGAGAGCTTAGTAACTGCACAGATCTAGAAAACACATGACCACTTTAATTTTGGTATTTTGCGAGCACTCCTTCATGTTCTGAAACACTTTTCAAAGGATATGCCCAGCTCTGCTCTGCCTGTCTTTAAGATAGGTGTTACATAAAGATATTGGGTCTGTTCATTCTCTCTCAATATAAATTGTGTTGTTATCTTCTTAAACAATTGCTTTTAGGTTATTTTTTTTTAAGTATTGGTTTTATATCGCTAAGTGCAATGCTGAAAAAACTGAACATTTTTTTTCCTGTACATTTGTTATAGCTGATATTGAAATTGATACGTTCTACTTACCTATTTAAGTTTGATTTAACCATAGGCTTTTGTTTTCATTAGGTTCGTAATGTGCTTAATGATGCAGTGGATTTGCTGGAATTTCGTGACAGAGTCATTAAAGCCTCTTTGAATTTTGGCCATTTAGTAGTTTCAACATCTCTTCAGTGTTACATATTCTCGTAAGCAATTTGAATTGAAGAGATATCATCTGATAAATTGCAAGCGTATTGTAAATATATAATAGCTTTGATGTAGTTTGATTAGAGAAGCAGCCATGATTTAACAAATATAAACTATAAACTTTTCACAATTACACATGGAATTGATTGCGTACATTTGGTTTCCTATCAGCAAAACCTTCTTAGTGAACCCATATGATTTCCTTAACAGAACCCTTGTTTCTTTATGCAACTGTGAATTATTCAGAACACTGTTTGGTCTGCTTAGCAAATTACTTTTGCCAAATAATTGAACTGTTTTTTGAATTTAAAATTCTTTTTAAATGGGTGTGAGTGCTGCTTTGAAGGAATGCTATAATGTCCTTATGGGATACAACTTATATTTATGTCTCTATGTACATTCTTTTGAATCACAGCAGCTATAACTGATTATTATAGTGATAATAGAAAATGCAGAATACTAATTACTTAATCAACTTATTTTTAAATCAAGTAAAAATACTTATGTATATTCTATATTTTTTGCAGTCTTAGGATATATAGTCCTCCTAGAGTTGTATATCCTGCATAAACTAAAATGTTTGTAATATGTTCTGTATAAGCAATTTTTAAATGTGTACTACCTTCCCTTTATTTTAGAGTTAAAAACTGGAATACACCTTTAATCTTTGACCTCAAAGAAGGAACTGTCAGTTTAATTTTACAAGCAGAAAGGTACATATTTTGAATGAGTCTTCAGACAATTTATTTTTTATTAAAGTAATATTTGTTCAAATACCATAAGGCATTTCTATCTGCGTTGATTTCAGTAGGGTTTGACAGTCTCACTCTCCTTTTTCTCTGGAGCAACAGATCAACCATACTTAACATAATCAACCACCTCTGCTCCGTGAGCTGCATTGGGTACCAGTTTGCTTCCGGGTCCAATTCAAGGTGTTGGTTATCACCTTTAAAGCCCTACATTGCATGGGTCCAGGCTACCTGAAGGACCGCCTCGCCCCCACGATCTCTACCCGTCCCACCCGATTTCACAGAGAGGGCATGCTTCGGATCCCCGCGGTAAAAGAACTCCGATTAGCGGGGGCCAGAAGGCGGGCCTTCTCTGCTGTGGCCCCCGCCTTTTGGAACATCTTGCC